TATCAATATTAATATCATGTTATTTGTTATTATAGATTTAAAACATCCTGGTATATATACTGGTGTTTACTAATTTAATTCATAGATACAATCAGTTGTTTATCAAATGTAGTCAATACAGTATCAATATTAATATCATGTTATTTGTTATTATAGATTTAAAACATCCTGGTATATATACTGGTGTTTACTAATTTAATTCATGGATACAATCAGTTGTTTATCAAATGTAGTCAATACAGTATCAATAATATCATGTTATTTGTTATTACAGATTTGAAACATCCTGGTATATATACTGATGTTTACTAATTTAATTCATGGATACAATCAGTTGTTTATCAAATGTAGTCAATACAGTATCAATAATATCATGTTATTTGTTATTATAGATTTAAAACATCCTGGTATATATACTGATGTTTACTAATTTAATTCATGGATACAATCAGTTGTTTATCAAATGTAGTCAATACAGTATCAATAATATCATGTTATTTGTTATTATGGATTTAAAACATCCTGGTATATATACTGGTGTTTACTAATTTAATTCATAGATACAATCAGTTGTTTATCAAATGTAGCCAATACAGTATCAATATTATCATGTTATTTGTTATTATAGATTTAAAACATCCTGGTATATATACTGGTGTTTACTAATTTAATTCATAGATACAATCAGTTGTTTATCAAATGTAGCCAATACAGTATCAATATTATCATGTTATTTGTTATTATAGATTTAAAACATCCTGGTATATATACTGGTGTTTACTAATTTAATTCATAGATACAATCAGTTGTTTATCAAATGTAGCCAATACAGTATCAATATTATCATGTTATTTGTTATTATAGATTTTAAACATCCTGGTATATATACTGGTGTTTACCAATTTAATTCATAGATACAATCAGTTGTTTATCAAATGTAGTCAATACAGTATCAATAATATCATGTTATTTGTGATTATAGATTTTAAACATCCTGGTATATATACTGGTGTTTACTAATTTAATTCATGGATACAATCAGTTGTTTATCAAATGTAGTCGATACAGTATCAATAATACCATGTTATTTGTTTTACTAATTTAATTTCGAATATATTATCTTTTCAGATTCATTCAATCCGAAACACACGGCTTGTGTACCACAGATAAGGGAAGTAACTCTGAAAATTAAACGATACATTTTCTATTTTTGTGTAGGCTTGTTTTGCGTTGAAATTGTATTATTGTTGTTTGTTAAACCATTCCTTTACATGAGAAGAAAAAAAAAGAAATAAGCTTTTGATGTTTCATTTTTAACGAAATTGTGATCCATGACTTTAGATGTGGTAAGGATACATTCATGTGTGGTGGTGGTGGTGGACTGATCACTTACACTGATATTCACACGTGGATTTTTTGTATTGGACATACTATTTATATAAGTATAAGCAATTGACTGTAAAGGGGGGAGGGGGGGAAGTAGAGATAATACTTAAATAAAATATCAAATATAACAACACAAAGTAATTTATCCGTTCCACGCTCCGACAGAGGAAGACTCGCAACTTATCAATCACCCCTTTATGGTCATATCTATCTTTGGGTATATATAGGTCAGAATCAGCCTTGTTCATTCTTGCTTCATCAATTTGATCTGAACAGCATTTACACTCAGATTTGATGTGTTCAACGTTCATTATATACAAGGCCTTCTTATCTAAAATTGAAAACAAAAGATATAGATACATTGTTATTAATTATAATTGAACCTATTTCGTCCAAAACCACTCCAACGCTATCAATAAATATACAGAAGAGAATTTCATTAAAGTGTTGAATTTTGTGAAAGATAACATATTTGTCGAATTTGGCAGGGAGATATTTCAGCAAGTAATCGGTATTCTTATGGGTACTAATTGTGCTCCTTTACTTGCTGATTTATTTCTTTACTCTTATGAGGCAGAATTTGTCAGGCTTGAACTAAAGCAAGCGCAGTAAAAAATTAGCACATTCGTTCAATTCCAATTTCCGTTACATAGATGACTTTTTGTCACTGAATAACTCCGTTTTCGGAGACTATGTAGATAAAATCTACACATGTTTATTCCCCCCTTCATTTCATCTGATGACGACACGTGTATGAAACGTTATGTACTTTGTATCATCTTTGAAATTGCTGAAACAAGGTTACTCGAGACACAAACTTCAAATGTCATGTAGGAAATTCTATGGTTGTTATGCAGGACTCCTTGATTAAAACAATATATCTGTTACTGACATTTTGGCTGGTTGTTTGGTCAGGCATGAATAGATCTGGTTGTATCTCATGATTTTTACCATTGTGGTAGTGGCGGGTGTCGAACCCTGGTTTAATGCCCATGATGGTTTCTTAGTCATTCTTGCTTGGTCTATTCCTGAATGTTGCTGAAAGATTTAATACTGGTTTGTCAAGATTATCTATGCCATTCTGGTGAACGGTTTCTTGTATTTCTCTTCTAAATAACTGTATTCTAAACAATCTCTAAAATCATCTGTTCATCGTGCTTTGAAATTCTGAAGTCCTAGGACACGTTGATCTATACGTAATCTCGAAATAAAATTCCTTCATAATCAATAGTACCATACTACCCGTAAACATCACAAGGATGCCTTGAGAAAATATGTATGAAGTACCGTTATCGGCGATTGACACATTTGTCAGCCTTAGAAAAGTTCCTGACCAGGTCGAATAATAAATTCTTTTGGTGGACAAAGGTTATAAGGGATCCCAAAGCTGTAAGATAAAAAACAAATCCCAAAAAGATCAGAAATTATGGTTTTAGATAATTATGTGTTTAACGAGACAGTTATAACATTTGTAAATATATTGATGCCAAGCTTTACTGACATATATGTAATTTATATTTCCTATTACAACGTTTGTCCCATCTGAAGGAAATTCAGTTTTAAAAAAACTTTTCAAATATCATTGCTGTTTTTAACTCAAAAAATATTATTTTCAAATAACTGAATTTGGATACATTATCAAAAACTAAGTATGTTCCCGGACTAAAATAGCCTTATAGAGAAAAGAAATTCCCATGAAAAAATGGATCTAATTTTTTGACGGAGGCCCAGATTACAGAATGATGATAGTAGATTAATATGTTCCGCCTTTGACTAGACAAGACAAAAGAACATTTTCTAGAGTTTATTCTTTGCATCGTCAACGGTGCACAAATAAAAAAACATATGTAAATTTTGTCAGTGACTGCAGGAATTGAATTACGCGTATCATTGATTCGCGTCACGTGATAATGACAATAATTTATTGTTTGTTATTTGTGTTTCTTTATGACAATAATTACTTTAAGTATATGATGATAAGTGAGAATATTATCATGAAAGTGAAGTTCTTGTCCAAAATTCAAAATAACAACGATAGAAATCTTAAATATTAAAATTTGGTGAAGAAATTCATTCTAGTGTCAACTTAGGAAACAAAACGTGAAGCGTTAAACTTACCTAAGAAAGACGATAATATTGTAATTAAAAAGAGTGACAAATGTTGTGTCATTCTGAATAGGGAGGATTACGTTTCAGAAGCAGAGAATCAACTGAATAATCCTAAACATTATGCCATTTTACCGGAATCAATTTTCAAAGAAACTGCTAACATGATTAATAATGTTCTTGCCGATTTAGTCAAAACTATAGTTATCTCAAACAGAAACAATATGACTATCTGTCTGCCAAACCTGATTGTCGCGAGAGACATTTGTACACTTTGCCTAAAATCCATAATAATCCAACCAAGGAGTGGTTTATCTCGAATAAAATCCCCAAAGGCCGCCCGGTTATATCTGACTGTGGTAGTGAGTCGTTTGCAGTGTCAAAATACATTGATCATTTCTTACTACCTCTAGCATGTCAAACACACAACCGATTTTGTCAATAAAATAAAAAATCTTCGAGTTCCTTCTAATGCCATTTTAATTTCTATCAACGTTTCTTCTATGTTTACCAATATCGACAACACTGCTGGTTTAACTGCAGTTCGTAAAGTTTGAAATAGAAACCCAGATCCAAACAGACCCAACGATGCAATTCTATACAGCTTTCGGAGATTTGTCTCAGTCGAAACGATTTCACATTTAATGGTAAAACATATTTACAAACTTCAGGGACAGCTATGGGCAAACGATTCGCCCCTTCGCAAACCTTTTCATGACAGAGTGGGAACGTGTCCATTTGATCCACTTTTTAGGGACGTTTTTTGGATGAAATTTTTATGGTCTGGACTTATTCTATCTAACAGTTTTGGGAATTCTTTGAAATTCTCAACAACCACCATCCTTTTATCAAACCACGAACGTGAGTGACAAAATCATAGATTTTCTCCATACCACTGTCTTCAAGGGAGATTCCATAGCAGAAACAAATAAACTGGATATTAAAGTGTATTTCAAAGAAACTGATACTCATCAACTCTTGCACAAGAGCTCCTTTGAACCAAAACATACATTTTCTCGTATAATTAAGTCACAAGTTTTACGATTTCACCAAATTTGCACAAAATCTTCTGATTACAACTAAGCCTGTACGATTGTCTTCTCAAAATTGAAAGAGCATGGGTACTCTAAACGATTTTTACTAAACAAAAAATTCCACCTTAGCACAGATAGCAGCTTAAATCAAGCTTTATGCCGAAGTACCTCCAGGTTTTCAGAAACTCATTATTCTTTTAAGTAACTCTACGAATAAAAGGTAAATATTCGTAGGTAACTTCAATGTACCCACTGACGTCATACACTCGTAAATTACACAAAAAATTATTCCAGGCTGGGAGTTGTACATGTAAGTTAGAAAGGTTTCGTGTGCAAAATATGCCATAATGATGTTCATGATACACAGATGTTGAAAATATTCATGTTCTTGTTTTAATTTTTTTTATTAAGAAATTCGGTTAAATTAGTATAAATACCAGCAATATTGTTCATAATTTCATAGCAGATTAGATAATACAATTATACTAATCATGTTGTCACTTCGATTACTCGTCGTTGTCGCTGCTCTCCTGGTTTTATTACTAGTTGTTGACTCTTCTCCCAATGGTCCGAGACGTCCTGACCGTAGACGTTTCCCCTTTAAATATCATGACAGGAGTAAGTATGTCTTTTTTATCACTCTAATATTATCAGTAATGTCACTTTAGTGCCTGGGACACGCATGTGTACATCAGGAACGTATAGTAAAATTTGGTTTGTGCACATTTGTGCACACTTTCAAACCTAAAAAAGACATTTGCAAAGAAAGACAAAACATGTTATTCTTTTGATAACAAAACTTCATTCATATTCAAAACTAATGTGAACATTGATATACAACTTTATTTTCTACAAACACGTTTCAACATATAACTTATGTACAGATCAACACATATCAACAGTGTTTCACAACTTTCGACCTATACCTCCACAACCCTTACACCATGGAATTGAAGGAAGCAGTTCGAACCCATAACACACAAGTATGCCTTGCATTTTGTACACATGAATCTGGTGCGTCTTTTGCAACCAGTCATTTTACATCTCTGGGTAAATTTTGAGTCCGATTGCATTGGCCAATGATCATGTCGGTCAAGGCGTGTGGAATTGGGATCGTCTCTCATAGAATGAGAAACCCTGGGATGTAGGTTCACAGGTGCGACATCTTCAAGCAAATCAACCTCAAAAACACACCCCCTTATCAAACTCAGTTGTGAATTCTACAAGGTTCATTTCACCGCCTACGCTTTTGTACAATAACCAAGCGTTTACTGTGCTCAAGTTCAACAGTTGGAAAGCAATACGCAATTACCATTTGCGAGATCTACGTTTCGTTTTATAGAAACTAAGACACATATCTGCTTTGTCCACAACACCCATAAACATATTGTATATAGAAATCATGACTGGTATAGGAATTTGAAGCTCTTTGTGTTGTACTTTGTCCCATATCTGCATATATCTGTTGGCTCTACCCCCTGATAATTGCTCATGGCAAGAACACGCTTATTGTCATACCATCCACATGCAGCAACTTGACCGTCTATGCTGTTTACCATGTCACACACCCCACGACCATCTCTCTTCAATTCTGTTTCTGACTTCAATGGACATTTTCTGGACATGTTTGGATTGAGTGTACTCGTTGAAAATATACCCTTTTCCCTCAAATAAACATGCAACTCAGGTGAGGCAAAAAGGTTATCAAAATATAGCTTATGCTTATTTGGGACAAGGGGTTGCACTAGTCTGAGAACAACTTCCCCATTCTTCGTGATTCCTGGCAAGTTATACTCTATGCTTGGGGGACTCCCACATATTTCTAGATCATAAACATAACCAGAAACCCCAGCACGTGACCACATTTTATAGCCCCATTTTACAGGTTTTTTCGGCATGTACACCTTCAGGCCATGGTGACCCTTGAAGGCGATTATAATTTCATCAATACTTTGATATGTTTCAGGTAGTGCGGCCTCCTTGAATCTTCTTGTAATATGGTCTGCAAAACGTTGAATTTTCTGTGTTTTAGAAAACCCATCCTCTCCTGGTTTCTTCAGTTTGTTATTGTCAAAAAATGCATGGTTCTCGTATGTCATCAAAGCGGTTTCTAATCATGGCATCAGCAATTAGTGGAACTCTAGTAGATGGGGACCAGTACATGCGGCGGTTAGGCAACTTGACTATGCCCATATATTGCACGATCCCGAAAACGGTTGATATTTCGGCTACAGATACATTTTTTATCTTGCGGACACCAGTTTCGTTGTTGCCCCATATGTTGTAACTGTTAGTCTCATTCTGGACAAATTCTACCATTTCGGTATCAACAAATAACTTGTAAAACTGTATTGGTTCACTATCTTTTGTGAGATCTTTGCATTTTAGAAGTTCAATATTTAGGCGAAGTTCTGTCAAAGTTTGATTCTTGTGGTACTTCAAAGCTACCACTACCTGCTGCAGCTCATTCAAATGTACTTTTCTTCATGCGTCGACGTTTTGCGGCTGCAGGCTGAGTGGGTTCATGTCTAGCAGCCTGTTCTAGTTGGTCATCTGTCTCTGTCAGATTGTGTTTTCTCAACATCACTATCAGTCTCAATGTTGGATTCCTTAGGGTTCCAGGCTGGGTCGGCAGCATCATCATCTGAGTCATAATCATCCTCATCCTCACTTTCGAGAGAGAGGGATATCGAAGGGAATTACTTGTCGGTTTCTGGTTTTTCTGCCATAAAATGTCCTGAAAAAAGATAAACATAATGCTTACAATCCTGGCGAAGTATTCTGGAAGTAAACCAAACACCCTGATAGCATATCACTGGATTTTAGGACATACAAACTCATGAAAAAGAGACGAAATACATCAAAATATTTCAGGACAACACATATTCTTGACAGCCTGTTGGCAACATTCGTGTATAAAAGTAAGTATTATTGTCATCCATGTACTCCATGATGTATGTGGCAAACACACTATATGTGTCAAAATGCGAAAAAACTATTACAGGAAAAAATATCAGTTGAATGAAAATGAGAAATACTCATCCCGGTTTCAGCATCATGGGGACTGCCATCTTGAATTGTCTAAACTGCCACCTATTCAAGTTTCAATGTACTAAATGTGCACAAAACTGTCCTTCGGGCTATCTATGGGTATTAATTAAATGTAGACTTATGTTGCCAAGAGGCACTAAAGGGTTAATGGCCCATTGTTAAACTTAACATCAATGGTGGTTCACTGCTTCCGTGTCATATCTTGCCTTTCTTGTTGAAAGGTCAAGATTAGACATCATTGATTTAAAATGAACGAAGAAGTCAACCAAATTCAGATCTGGCTTCCTAATCAAGGGTTTAAAGATATACTTCCCCAAGATTTCAGGCGATTCGCAATCTGCATCACAGACTTGGTCTCTAACCTGTTTCTTAGATTTTCTTGTAAATGGAAAGCTGTTAGATCTACTAATAAGCCATCAACTGTAATTCTATAATCTTCTATTTTAGTCTGTGATGATTATCATCTTCCTGATCACGCCTATTGGGTTATTACTGAAGACTGTGACAAGTATAATAGACCATTCAGGTGTGACGACAGTCACTATCTTCAAGTTACGACAGAATGTCACTATGGGAAATGGAAGTTGAGCTACGAGTGTATAGCTACAGGAAACAATACTGGAGGAGTAAGATAGAAATTTCTTTCTTGAATGATGTTTTACTTACTTTCTGTATTTGATAAGGCGAATGAAAACAGGCAATGTTATGATGAAGAAAATAAAAAGATAATCTATGTACCATTTGCTTTGTAACATTAATATTTTATTTTATTTCAGAGTTCTCAAAGAGGCTCGGGCTAAACTTTGATGACCCACTGATAATAAAATATTAGTATAGTAATATAGATCTTGTGTTATTTTATTTGAGTCACAACAGTAAACCTACATGAAGGGGTTAAATTATAGTGACCTCTCAAGTTGCCAATAGATGAAGTATGGTGTCCTTTGAAGTTTGATGTGGCGGATTATCGATACAGTAGATAAAGGAGAAATGATAAACAATAATTAGGAACTATAGTGTATCGCATTCGTGACTTATATTTTCTTCTGTATCTATGATACCGCTTGCACATCCAGTCAGGCACCGCAACTCGTCTTAGAACACTTTAAACATGTTGTTCCGAAATGTCTCCTTACAGCCTCGATATCAGTGTAACTTCTCAGATCGGGTTTAAGACCAAACATTTGACATGTGCTCACAGAACTGATGCTGTTCTGTTCCAAAATTTCAAGTTCCTACCTTGCATAGTCTGACCGCTACAGCACTTTTACTCCAGGGCGCTTCCAATAAGTAGCTTTCAGGGGATTTACAACAACTGTTTTTGACTGAAATACATGATGCGCTTTCGTTTGAAACAAAAATTATACCTCCCATAAGAAAATTGGCCGAGCTATGTCCATTTTCATCTTCAGATAGGTTAAGTCTAGCTTCACAGGTCGGGGTAAAAACCAAATGTTTGACAGGCTGCAATTTTAATCCATCAGAGATGAAAGGTTGCAATCATCTTTACAATTTCATTTTATTATCACCCCAATTTTCAAGGGGAAATCTCCCGAAAGCCGCTAACTGGAAGTGTCATGGGGTAACACTCATCTGAAGTTGTTATGTTCCAAATTTCAAATTCCTAACTGTGCCTGCAGTTTCAGACTTTTCCCCAAACTAACGTATATGTGATTTTCCTCAATCAAGTTAGTCCAGTAATACTACTACTACTACAAAGGTGGCGTCGATACACATAAAAAGGTTAGAAAACCTCTTTACAAATTTTTCGCCTTTTATATCTTTTCCATTTCTAACCGTACGGTAACCCAAAATCCTAAACACAGATTAAAGAAACATTGATAACAGTCTATTTCTGTAAATCTTTCATCATCTCACAAAATCAGAAAAGAAAATGCAGTTTCAGACAACAAATTTCCAATCTAGTCCAAAAATAAGTCAACATAGGCATGCAAAATACGCTAAAAGGGAGAGAGTAAACGGATTTCTAAAAATAGCAAGGACTAAATTCGTAAAGTCATTGCAGATGTCCTTATGTATCAAAGTGGTTTTCTCCCTTTTCCTGTAGTAAGTTAAATGGTTGTTTGCTAACGCTTCTGGGCTCAATCTTATCATGTTCAAGATCAACCGGATTTCAACCCAAGTCCCATGTGCTGCAGGCTCTCGACATTTTAATAAGGCTTATAATACCACTGTCCTGCCAATTTCCCCCATTACACACTGCATGACGTTTGTATGACATGAATTACTAGATCCAGCTTAAAAAGATAATGGCACATTCAACTACTGGTATTAATAAAAAAATATATGAAAAAGCTTTGAAAACACTACTCAATACATTCATACTCCTAATACATACTCAAAGAAATCTTTTAGATAGATTCATGGCGTAAAGAGCAACGAAATTAATCTGAACCATGCATGCAGTACTATGAACATGGAATTCAAAATTCCATGCCTTTCATAAATTAAAATGACGTCCATGCATGTATACTTAAATTAACGTGATCTTGTAACTTAACAAGGAATCATTACACATTTTATTTTAGCCCTTTCAACCATACACTATAAACTGTATTCGACTTAAAATAATTCAATTTATCCTTACTGAAATGAATCTATGTAACAGTACCCACGCTCTTCTTTTCATCAAATGAAGACGGACAATGTGCAATGAAGATAAATGTACCAGGACAGCGGCATTTACCTATTTCTTTTCTATTTCCATCTATCGAGGATTATCGGTTCATTTTCCCAACCAATCGACTAGGCACGTTTTCCATGTCGACCACTCCGACCTGCATCATCGACAAGAGGAAAGCGGGGTAAAAAAAGAGTTTTATGCTGACCCATGGGTCGGAAACCTTGATCTTTCTGATGTGTCTTAACTCTAAATTAAAGCTGTTTTATCTAGAATGGATTTATTATTGTCGCGAATCTATTCATTTTTGTATGAATGAGGTCATAGTAGCAAGCTTGCTACAATAAATACGTAGTACACTCGGAAATAATGGCTTGTTATAAATAGATTTTTCATATTATATTCTTATCTTTCAACATTAATGTATTGACATGTTTCCTATATTAGCCTTTTTTCATGATTAATAAACGGCAGCTATGATTATTATAGTCTGTCCTTTTGGTTGAAGCTAGCAATCCTTGAAATGAACCAAAGGTGCGCCAGTTAAATATTGCAAGGCCTTCTCACATCATTATTTTTTTCACACTTAATTAATTTTAACACCATTGGCTCCAACTTAATTCACAAGTATCGAATTACTTCTGAAAAATACAAAGTACTATCAGTCGGATTTATCATCCCGCTTTCCTCCTTTCGGTGATGCAGGTCTGAGTAGTTGACATGGAAAAATGCCTAGTTTATTGGATAGTACAATGAACAGAGATCCCTCAATAGTTGAAAATCGAAAATGAATATGTTATCCTGATAATTTTATCTTCATTGCTATTTTCGAAAAATACTTCTAGTCGAGTAGTGCAAAATAGGTACATTAAACTCTTATCGTAATTAAAGATCAGTTTCGCCTTCCATTTGACCAATGACTAAAAATAACGGAAATGTTTTTTAGCTAAGCTAAATTAGAGCTTTCAAATCAATCCATGTGTGCCCAGAATTATCAGCGATTGAAAGTTAAAATGACGACTCGTCTTTTCTCAAGAAGGCCATATATAGAAATAAAAAGTGAAATTTCCAGCTTGACGTATTTTTGAAGTATAAAGCGAATTTTGTATATTTCTAGTACTTCTGGGGACTATTTAAATAAATGCATGACCTAAATCAACCCACGAAAAAGTACGAGAACCAGACTATCAAATGTCCTAGCCATTTTAGTGCATTGATGGCAATTTTACTCGGACCGAACCATTTATCACATCCGATTGTCCGTTACCATCTGTACTTTCTCAACAAATAAAGTCCTAAACTCTGTACGCATAGTTATTTTCTAAGACACCTACCCCTTCAAATCGTAATGGAATAACAAGACAACTTTGCAAAGTGAGAAGATAATTTTTATTCTGAGCTTATCGGTAAATGCGATGTTTTTTTTTTCAATCTAGAGAATCTGTCCCAAAGTTTTTTTTTTTTTGATCGGTCCGATTGTCGTCCTGAAGCGGCCGAATGTATGTGTATTACACAGACATTCTCCGGCCGAACAAATTTGCTTTATTAGACCGATGATCGGTGATTTGGGGATCCTATATATATAGATCCAGGTCGATTTCAGACCAACCAAGACGATCCCGGACCCAACCCTCGAATGACTAGGCTTAGGTATTGCTCGACAGTGCTCCCGAATATATTTGTTAAATAAAGCCGATCAACCAAATAAGAGATCAGATTCTATCTGAACAAAACAAACCCTATTACTCCTGAACAAGTAGGCATTTATCATAATGTACAAATTGGCCTTGGGGATATTTTCTGTTGTTGAAGTTGTTTTTATGTGACTCGTTTCATAAACTTACAATGACCTTTTAAGTGGTAAACACTTCTAGCGGACGACACATTTGTAGAATGTGGTTGGAAACGTGTTCGAAAACGTGAAATAAGAAATACGTGAAAAACATGGACGAACTCATTATAACCCCAGGTTATCTTGATGAATTTTTTTATGAAAATCTTCAACTTAAGTAAAGACGAAATGGATACTTTCATAATATTTTTCTCCTGTCACTTATATATGAAAAATATTCCCCATTTTGACGTAAGAACCTAACCAAGTGAAGTTATACATATATTAAGGATGATGATGTCAACACACATCAGTCAGAAATGAACTTCGCCTATCAGGATGTTTAACTTATATAAGTACTTATATAAGATCAGTAGAAGGCCTATATATACACTCAAATAAATCACATTTGTCAGATTTGCCCAAAGTGACCAAAGGTTAAGCTCATTGGTATTTGAGATTTACGACGTACAGTTTTACAAATTGGACGAAAATGATGTTGCAGATAGTATCATTGGTTTTGTTTCTTCAGCTGTTAAATTCATACAGCGAAGCCTATTCCTTTGATGCAAGTGGTAAAGCATCGTTTTGCAAGGACAATGATTGTCCATTATTTACTACAACTTTTGTGGTAAGTCAATTTTCATGCGATCTCGTTATATCGTAAAGGTATATTATGTATAGTGCTGTCTGGACTTCCGTCTATAAATGCATTGAACACATTAAAGGCTTTATCACTTTTCAATCGATTTTAAAGAGACTTGGCATGACGCATATTGTCGAGATCGAATTTCATTGATATCGGTTTTACTTGGTATATTTTATTATTCGTGTTAGAAAACATTTGTTTTAAGCATGATCGTCTTGGTTGTTATATAGAAAATATAACTGAAGTTCTTATATAGTTTATTCCGATAATGTTAGTCTACAGGTGGGTTCCTTATTGACTCATATTGGTGGATTGACTTTACGACCTGAGCTCTCTGTTATCCGCAGACAAAACTGACTAAAAACGACGTGTCTTGGGCTATAAAGACAATACAGCAGTAAGGGACATTGCAATAGAAAACAGAAACGTTAGTATGTAAGTTAATAGATGCTGGGATTGGACTTTTGACAACCAGGTTCTGTGAACATGCAAGCGTCTGACTAACCCAATCACCGCGGCTTCCAGATTTTCTTTCAAGATTCAAATGATAACAAAGATGCCGATATAGATCTTGAATAGGTTTCATTTCAACGATGTTGGCAAGAGGTTACAGACCCAAATTTCAAATATGATAAGATTTTCTTACTGTTTTGATGGTTATCCAATAGGATGACCTCTCGTTTGGTTTGATTTATTTGTGAGAATTTCTAAGTAACACGGTAAACAATACAAAAGTTATATTCAATGTAATTAATTATTTAATTTGAACACTTGAACGCCTGAAGATAGTTTACGTAAATGATTGTTTTTATCTTTTATATGTTTTATCAAAATAATTAGTGAGTTATAGAAGAAAACTTTAAGATAAATTGCTTTAAGAATTTATGATAAGTTTTTATATATTATGATGAATAATCCTTAAGTATGAATGTATTGTGATAAATATTTTATTTATAGAATCAATATGAAATCAGACGATATGAAGCATCTAATTGGGTAGAAACAGAAATCAGCAACATGCCTTTAAATACAGCCAAAAGAACAATGTTTTGGAAACTCTTTAGATATATCAATGGACAGAATGCAAATAGTAAGTTTTTCTCGCTTTAACATTGAAATACCAACTCCATTATCAACACTATCGTCGTAGTTGTGTACAGCATTTTGATCATTACTTGTACTTGCGAAAGTTAATGATGCGATTGGTGCATTGGATTCATCCGTCCACAACTGAATAGAAGCAACATTCGGTTATGACTGCTTAGAAGTGAATTGAACGTTCTATTTAAAAATGTATCAATTTTTCCCATGTCTAACGGCAGATAACTCCTGTAAAATGGATGTAGTGACTAATCACAAACATGCACGTTTAAACGATTAAATTAAGAATGTTTCCACTTGCTATAAAATTTAGCGCAACATATTGCATAGCATTACAATTAATTTCTTTTAATTAACATCTTTTTTTCTTACAGATCAGAAGATTAACATGACTGTTCCAGTTTTAGGCAAACACGGCAAAAATTCAAATAGTTACACAATGATGTTTTACCTATCTAATTCTATTCCTAATCCACCTCAACCTATTGACCAATCAGTTAGAATTAACTCACTTCCGGCTTTCACATCATACGTCAGGTGAGTAACTTAATGGTTAAAAATTGTGACCGGTTAAGTATACTTTCTTCAGTAAGGCTTCAATTGTGATTGCATCATCGCTTTGCCTAGATTAGACGGCATGCTGTTAGTTTTCCATTAAATACTATTTTGCGTTTCATTTTAAATATCAATTTGAGATGCATTAAAACATATAAGCTGTCAATATGGAAGGAGTATGCATGTGGAGACCAAAATAAGTCAAATCTCGTCTAAAAGGTGCTTAAAAGATTGGCCGATATCCGAGTTTGAACTTCTAGGTTCTAGATAGCTTGTAAAGTCAATTAATTAATTCTCTATTTCAGATCATTTTCTGGTTATCCAAGAACAAAATTAGAATGGGAAAGCGAAGAGTTAGCTTTAGAACAGTCTCTTAATTCAGATGGTCTCACATTTGATAAATCTTATTTTGTTACTGCTGGTTATGACGCACCATGGATACAAGATAGACACAATGAAGTTTGGTTATTCCCTACTGCTTAAAACTATGTCCGGATGGTACACTATGATCATCGTAATAGTCCACACGAATCTCACTATTTATATTCATCACATTTTATTGAAGTATAAATTTTACTACATAAAGCCTTTTTGTATGCATGCCATGTGTTTATATTGTACATTCTAGCCTTATTATGGTGTTGTTAATTTTAATGAATAAACTTTTTTTTATAATAACTTTTTTTAATAGACTCGATTTGGTAAAGAGATGTTATAGTAACTTTAAGACCGCTATCTAGAGGACAGATCATGTAGAGAATCTTCAACGAGTGTCAGATGAAGTTTATGAATGAGTTTCTGAATTTGATGTTTCGCGAGAACGAATTTCATAGATTTCACAGAACATGAGCACGAATGAAAGATTCTATTTCTAATTTTATGTAAGAAGTGATTGCCTTCATTTCGAAGTCATCTATTTAGCTATGTAGTTGCAAAAAAATAAGATGTAGTGCATAGGAATTTCTATTGTTAATAATATCGCCTGATTAAAAAATACCGAAATATCGCCATATCGTGATATATGGTAATTATCATGATATACCGTAAAATTTTTGTTCAGATAAGATCATCTACATAATTTTAACAAGTAACTTGATATTTGAAACGGATGCTTTTTTCATGATATTCAAGTGTGGAGTGTTTTTAGAGATATTTATTGTTTTATTCAAAATGTTACATTTAAAATTTCTAGATCATAATTTCCTTTCAAAACCAGTAAAAAACAAACTTAAAAAATACCGCCATATATACCCATATCGTGATATATTACTGCTTAAATATCGTGATATCAACTTGAACCAAAATCTCCCAGCCCTAGATCTATGTAACCACGTTCATGTCATAACTAAATTGAAATTTAAATCAATTTTATGTTACATGTAATTTGGTGACATTATATGCCCGGTACTATAGATTTTCACTGAGTCGCCAACTTCAAAGAATGTCATGTTGTTTTGTTTATGTAGTGTACATTATTACTTGCTAAATTGTGCTGACCCTGAACACTGATAGATAAGGTTACTGTCATCATTCATATTAATCCCATGCTCACACATATTGCATAAGAAATAATTAATCAGGAATTTATACTGTAGTTTTCATGATATTTATCAACTACATAAATCATTTATTGCTTGGTGAAGGAACGATTTTGAAATAGTGACAAAGTTTGAATAAAACACACCGAGAACCTTCAATGAATTCCATGCGATGTACTAGCTAGAGAAAAAGAAAAAAACAATGACGCTGTTGTAGATTTCCCAAACAGGATGGCCCGATTAGATGCAGAAAAGTGAACATAAAACTCCATTAAATTTTAATATTTGATCAAGATGAGATTTAAGTATGGTCTATTTTTTGGATAATTGCAATGTTAAAATCACATTAAAATGACAGATTATTTTCTGATGTAGAATTATTTACGACAGCTTAGTTCCTTTATTCTTAAAAAATATGGTGTTATATGTCACGAGCCATCAAAAAAAAATTTCAAATGTGATAAACATGAAATTTATTTCGACACACGTCCTACATGCATTTAATAAAGCACTTAAATACTTACAGAACAATGTCTGATTTTAGAACGGATATTTGTAATTACATTAAGCCATATTAATGGCACAGTTTTTATTAGTTAACCTATTAAAACACCAAGGTTTAACTTGTTGGCCTATATATCGGTTAACAAATGAAAATATTCTATTGGTTACTTATAATATAATTGACAAAGGTGTGACAGATGAGGAGTTGTGATCATCATTGCACGTACAGTAAAGGCTGTAGTATATATTATAGCGTTGTATATTACATTATATCCATATGATTTTTTACGCAAACAATGACAGAACTGTCCATTGATTTGCTGAAGCTTGCAGGATAAATTAAAATCCAGGGTCGATTGATCAAACACAGATAATGCTTATACACGATTAAAGTTAAGCCAGTTTAACTATCAACCTTCCTGGTCCAGTGTTTTTTTTATTAAGGTTCAGACGGACATAAAAGTTAAGGCAACTTTGACATTACCTAGGAAGTTATCGGGAAGTTAGTCAGTATCGTTCAGGCGGCGAAACTGAAGCTGGTTTAACTAGTAATTATTCAGGTTTTAAGCCACCTCCGAAGAAGTAGCTTAAGTTTACCCGGTCGCGTTCAGACTCAAGGATTAGTTAAACTGCCTTGACTTCAGTAGATATTCATGATATTATTTAACAAATCCATTAGTAAGTTTACATAATCCATTGTTAGTAAGATATCTTCAATGAATTGTTCATATTTGTCGGATTTTATATTTTAAGACATGGAAACATGAGACTAAGAATGGCTAGGAGTAAGGTTTAATTTTTAGAACCAATTTTTTCACAATAACAACATATTAATCTGTCCATACAACCCCAGTCACTACCTCTAAACGTGCTATAACTCCATTTAAACAGTCTAAATCATGGCTTAGCGCTGCACACTCGATTCGACGAAACGATCAGAGAAAGTTTTCGATCTAATGTTATATTACTGCGTCTTTAAATCAGTTAAATTTATTGCCTTATTGTTAATAACGACATACCGTGCACAAAAATGCCTCGTACTGTTAACTACTGATTTCTAAACAAGACCAATTGGCACTTCTTCCGTATTACATTGTTGGCGAGACAAATGGTGTCTAGGACTACCAAATTCATCGAAATCGAAAGTCTTGCCACATTATTTTGTCGTAATTTACGAACAAGAAAACAAACATGACGTGATCCACAATATCTTATAATTTACAACTTTTAGACTTGTGTTGTGAGTCGTTAAATTGTACATTATCCATAAACTACGTCAGACAATGAAATAAAATGATATATTACGAGACACATTATGTGACCCAAAAATAATTTACAATACGCAATAGCTTGAAGCGGCATGTGCACTGAATAATTTGATTTCACTTTTGTCTTAGAAGAATTGTAAGGAGGATTTCTAAATTTGTTATGCTTGTAAGGGACATCAATTTGTACCATTCCGATTTTCAATCAGGCGTCT